TGTAACACGGTGTATTATTTGTTAATGTTAATATTTAGTTCTCTTTTATTACTGTCACCTTTTGCAATTCAATTAAAAGTAAATCTCGAATCATCAAACTTCGAACAAACAAATTCCTCCATTCACACCGTAGTACACTATTCACATAACTACAATGTTAGTTGTCCTTACTGTGCGGGCTGACGACCTGCAGTTGGTGTGAGGGCAGGTCGCGGACCACTATCGCATGGAACGCCATGTTGGCTGTTGCTAAGATGTACTCGCAGACTGAGAACCAGGTGAATGCTGGAAAAGAGAAATAAGTATAAATTATATGTCTTATTTTAGTAAGTGCTAACAATGAAAAGAAGAGAGACTTCGAAAGTAACGCAATGGAGAGGTTTATCTACCTACATAATAGTAGTAAAGTTTAGTAAATTGATCGATTGAACGATTCTAACTTATCAGTGCTGCTGCGCAAGCATAGCGTTGAAATTCCTCTGGCCAGATGGTGGACCGATATGATGACAAAAAAAGGAAAAGGCTGGTTGTGGATGGAATTACCGTCGCCATGAGATTGGCAATAGTCGGCAAATATATAACCAAGTTCAGAAATTCATACGTCACGCCTTTATATAGATGCCGTAGGCAGAAAGTTAACGACCGTAAAATTACGATTGTTATCTCATCACTACTACTGTCAAAATATGTGTATGAGGCATGTATGAGGGTCGTTTCAGACAAGTCGTGTAGCACTATATAGTGACAATATGTCAGCCTGTCGCCTTTTCAATTCACATAAAACCCTCGAGTCTCTTAGTCGCCGCTTACGACTTCAAGGGAATGTAACGGATTAATGCTATTCTAAGCTGGCGTGATACGGCAGTCTAAGCTGGTACTTCAAGTCAGAATCTCTTCGTCACCTTTTACGAAACACCCTGAAAAGAATCTATCGGGATTTTAATGCACTTACAGTGCTATATTATTCTCACAAGTGAAAAAAAGTGTTGAGTTAGTACATTGACACTGGCAACATTGTCTCTAGTCTATTACCTTTCTGTATTGAAAAATGGTGGATTTCGTGTGTATGAAATGGTGAAGATAAAATAAAATAACATGTTTATAAAGTGCAAAGCCGCAGTTTCAATCCACTAATTCAACATGGTAGCAGAGCGCTAAATAATCTACGGAATAAAATAGCAAAATATGAATGAAAATAATTATGGTAAAAAGTGATTGCGAAAAATAACAAGAAAATAAATGAAAAACGATGGCGTCAAAAAATGAAATAAATATGCAAATTTTCGATGGTGCTGAATATAGCCACTGGAAGATACGAATGCTAAAATATCTACAGTATAAAGGATGCAAAGAAGTAGTTACGCGTAAAAAGAAGTCTACTGATGACGACGCAAAATGGGATGAACAGGACATCCAAGCAACAAACTACATTTATAGTGCAATCACTAATAGGCAGTTGGAGTACGTATGCGAGTTGGAGACTGCATACGACATTATGCAAAAGTTTGACCAGATGTACTTGAAAACATCAACAGCCCTGCAAATCGTAAGTAGGCACAACTTGGAGAGTATAAAGCTGGTAAACTACTCGAACCTGACCCAATTCTTTGACGATTTTGAGAAGGCAGTAAACGATCTAAAACAGGCAGGAGCGACCGTATCCGAAAGTGAAAAACTGAATTACATGTTGAGGGCGCTCCCCGAGAAATATGCATATATTGGTGATCTGATTGACATTTTAAGCGAGAGTGAACGAACTGTAGACTATTTAAAGAGTAAAATCCAAGTGAAATGGGCAGAAAATTTAAACACGAATGAGAGTGCAAATGCAAATGTCTTCAAGGCAGACAGGCCTATAAACAAGTGCTATGGTTGTGGTAAGCCGGGGCACATCCAAAGAAACTGCCGTTCCGGAAATAATATGTACCGAGGACGGGGGTTTAATACGAACTATAGAGGACGAGGATCCTATTATACAAGGAACTCAACTAGAGGACGAGAAATTAATACAGGACGTGGAAGAAGCACAGGTCTAGCAAACAGCTTCCATACGAGTATCGCGAATAATATATATACTAGTAAAAGTGAAAAGGAAACGACAAAGAGAGGACAAATTAATTGGTTGCTTGACAGTGGATGTACAGACCACATTATTAACACAGATGAGTACTATGAAAGCTGTATATTATTAAAGAACCCCGTAAAAGTGAAAGTTGGTGATGGGGCAATTCTAGAAGCAACAAAAGTTGGTACTATCAACACATACTTCCCTGTATATGGAGAAAAGTCAGAAGTGCTACTGAAAAATGTATTTTACGTTAAAGAGATGAGAGCAAATCTATTGAGCTATTCAAAAATCACAGACAAGAATGAAATTTATTCAAGAGGGAGATTGTCAGAGATTTACAACCCTAATGGAGATATCATAGCTGTTGCAGTTAAAGATGAAAGACTATACAAAATGAAAAGCTATGTAGACCAAGAGAATGTGCAAGCAAATTATAACAAAATTGATATGACGATGAAGGAAAAACTACACAGAACATTAGGACATATAAATTTTAATAACTTACAACTTATGTGCAGAAATGAGTTACTGGACGGATTACCTAAAGAGGTTGAGAGGGAATACCTGAAGTGTGCCATATGTATTGAGAACAAAATGCATAACTTACCGTTTCAAAATAACAGAACAAGAGCCGAAGATATATTGGAAATTGTGCACACGGATCTGAATGGGCCACATCAAACAGCAGGTCATTCGGGTGAAAGATATTTCTTGACATTTATTGATGATTACAGCAAGTTGGTAAAAGTCTGCTGCATAAGGTCAAAAGACGAAGTTTACGACTGTTTTATACAATATGTGAATGAGGTACAAAATCTCACTGGAAAAATGATAAAGAGGCTGCGATGTGACAATGGGAAGGAGTATATAAATAATAGAGTGTTTCAATTTGCAAGAGAAAAAGGAATTATAATCGAACCGTGTCCACCCTATGTACACGAGTTAAACGGAACTGCTGAAAGGTATAACCGCTCACTGATGGATATGGGCAGATGTTTGTTGGCCGAAGCAAAAGTTGACAGAAAATTTTGGCCAGAAGCGATTAAAACAGCGGCATATCTCAGAAACCGCACATTGACTAACACCATAGAGAGGAAAACACCATATGAAATATTCTTTGGAAAGAAGCCATCAGTAAAGAATTTGAAAATGTATGGCAGCAAGGTATTTGTAAGGGTACCAGAGGTACGGCGAAGATCTAAATGGGACAAAAAAGCTGAACTAGGAATTCTACTAGGATATACTGAAACTGGTTACAGAGTATTAATAAACAACAAGATTATTGTTGCAAGACACTGCGATTTTATAGAAGAAGGACTAAATATATGCGGATTTGATGATGAAAAAGTAGAAGCAAGTACAGATGATAGAAATGATAAACAAAAGGAAAAACAAAAAGAGTCTGATAGTAGTAGAGGAGATGAAAGAGTAAATGAAAGTGTAGATGTAACCAGAAATGACAAGCAAAAGGATACGACAAATGAAATGGTAACTGAAAGTACAAGAGAAGCAAATAGTGACAATGAGTTAAAAGATGATGATGGAAATATGACGGAAAAGAGGTCAAAAAGGCAAACTAAACCACCACGACGTTTCGATGACGAATATGGGTATTATTGTATTACTGTTAATGTGTGTGATGCTTTAGTTCCAGAAAATTTTCAGGAGGCGACTACTTGTGATGAGTCAGACAAATGGAAGGAAGCAATGGATAGTGAAATAAACAGCATAATAAAAAATAAGACATGGACACTGGTGGAAAGACCGTCCCAGGACAAAGACGTAATTGATGTGAAGTGGATTTACAAAAAGAAAAGTGAGAATAAATATAAAGCCAGGTTAGTTGTTAGAGGCTTTCGACAAACTGATCGCATTGATTATACCGCCTGCTCACGTAATGTAATGAAAGATATGGGCATACTCAAAACTTACTCAGGAGTTGAAATTAACTATAATTTATGGATACGATGCTATAGATAGAAAATCTACTACAGGTTTTGCTATTAGATTCTTTGGGAATGTTATTTATTGGAAGTCAAAGAAACAAAACAGTGTAACTAAGTCTTCTACATTTGCTGAGTATATAGCTTTGTCAGAAGCTGTAACAGAAATAATTTTCTTACTTTGCTTACTAGAGGATGCATTTGATATCGTTTGTAAGCCAGTTAAGGTGTACGAAGATAACTCAGGTGCTATAGCTATTGCTAAGTATTGTAACTTTACATATTGAGGTTCACTATCATTATGTTCACGAGAATACTGTACAAGGAAATGTTAAAATTTTAAAGATAGAGTCAGAAAATAATTTGGCAGACATATTCACTAAAGGGCTAGGAAATATAAAATTCTTTAAGTTCAGAGATATGTTAAGTTTGAAGTAATAAAATAAAACAAGATGTAATGTTATAAGAGTTTATTAGAGTTTGTTATTAGAGACTGTTACCACCTTATGTGACTATGGACTGTCAGTAAAGACTGTTATGCGTATATTTTTACTAGACTGATTTTGATGATGTTTGTAATATTTATGTTGCAGTGTAAATGTAAGGAGGCGTGTTGAGTTAGTACATTGACACTAGCAACATTGTCTCTAGTCTATTACCTTTCTGTATTGAAAAATGGTGGATTTCGTGTGTATGAAATGGTGAAGATAAAATAAAATAACATGTTTATAAAGTGCAAAGCCGCAGTTTCAATCCACTAATTCAACAAAAAGAAAAAGAAAAAATTACACATATCGACCGAGAATCGAACCCGGGCCGCATGGGTAGATTGATTAAGCAAGCTACATATCGTCATATGGTTTGAATTCCACTCATAATGTGGGTGGACTAACCATGTAGTAAGTTCTAAATACTTTCTACAGATGTCACTGGATTTTCGCTTGGATACGAGCATCAATAGATAAGAAATTTGGCATTCAGCAACCGGTGCATCGATAGGTCAGTGGCAGAGCGGTGGGGCGTTTACCCATGCGGCCTGGGTTTAAATCCCGGTCGATGTATGAATTTTTTTTTATTTCTTATTTTCACCCTGAGTCCCTGAGAAGGCTTGGTGTGGCAGAATTTTTAGCTGCTTCTAAAGTAACTGCACTTACCTAGTGGTCGACAGAGCAGACGATGCCTCGCGAAGTGTATGACAAGCCCGACAGTAGCAGCTATAGCTACGTAGAACAGTATCCACACCAGTCTATTGCATGTGTTTTAAAGAAAGAAGTGATCATCCTTACCTAATGGTCGACAGAGTAGACGATGCCTCGCGAAGTGTATGACAAGTCCGACAGTAGCAGCTATAGCCACTTAGAACAGTATCCACACCAGTCTATTGCATGTGTTTTAAAGAAAGAAGTGATCATCCTTACCTAATGGTCGACAGAGTAGACGATGCCTCGCGAAGTGTATGACAAGTCCGACAGTAGCAGCTATAGCCACTTAGAACAGTATCCACCAGTCTATTGCATGTGTTTTAAAGAAAGAAGTGATCATCCTTACCTAATGGTCGACAGAGTAGACGATGCCTCGCGAAGTGTATGACAAGTCCGACAGTAGCAGCTATAGCCACTTAGAACAGTATCCACACCAGTCTATTGCATGTGTTTTAAAGAAAGAAGTGATCATCCTTACCTAATGGTCGACAGAGTAGACGATGCCTCGCGAAGTGTATGACAAGTCCGACAGTAGCAGCTATAGCCACTTAGAACAGTATCCACACCAGTCTATTGCATGTGTTTTTAGAAAGAAGTGATCATCCTTACCTAATGGTCGACAGAGTAGACGATGCCTCGCGAAGTGTATGACAAGTCCGACAGTAGCAGCTATAGCCACTTAGAACAGTATCCACACCAGTCTATTGCATGTGTTTTAAAGAAAGAAGTGATCATCCTTACCTAATGGTCGACAGAGCAGACGATGCCTCGCGAAGTGTATGACAAGCCCGACAGTAGCAGCTATAGCTACGTAGAACAGTATCCACACCAGTCTATTGCATGTGTTTCAAAGAAAGAAGTGTTTATCCTTACCTAGTGGTCGACAGAGCAAACGATGCCTCGCGAGTGTATGACAAGTCCAACAGTAGCAGTTATAGCTACGTAGAACAGTATCCACACCAGTCTGTTAGTTTTTACAGGCGGTACAGTCTCGCTGGCCACACAACCGACTTTGGCATACTGTTTAAGCAGTCAGCTTCAAAGAAAGAAGTGATCATCCTTACCTAGTGGTCGACAGAGCAGACGATGCCTCGCGAAGTGTATGACAAGTCCGACAGTAGCAGCTATAGCCACTTAGAACAGTATCCACACCAGTCTATTGCATGTGTTTTAAAGAAAGAAGTGATCATCCTTACCTAATGATCGACAGAGTAGACGATGCCTCGCGAAGTGTATGACAAGTCCGACAGTAGCAGCTATAGCCACTTAGAACAGTATCCACACCAGTCTATTGCATGTGTTTTAAAGAAAGAAGTGATCATCCTTACCTAATGGTCGACAGAGTAGACGATGCCTCGCGAAGTGTATGACAAGTCCGACAGTAGCAGCTATAGCCATAGAACAGTATCCACACCAGTCTATTGCATGTGTTTTAAAGAAAGAAGTGATCATCCTTACCTAATGGTCGACAGAGTAGACGATGCCTCGCGAAGTGTATGACAAGTCCGACAGTAGCAGCTATAGCCACTTAGAACAGTATCCACACCAGTCTATTGCATGTGTTTTAAAGAAAGAAGTGATCATCCTTACCTAATGGTCGACAGAGTAGACGATGCCTCGCGAAGTGTATGACAAGTCCGACAGTAGCAGCTATAGCCACTTAGAACAGTATCCACACCAGTCTATTGCATGTGTTTTAAAGAAAGAAGTGATCATCCTTACCTAATGGTCGACAGAGTAGACGATGCCTCGCGAAGTGTATGACAAGTCCGACAGTAGCAGCTATAGCCACTTAGAACAGTATCCACACCAGTCTATTGCATGTGTTTTAAAGAAAGAAGTGATCATCCTTACCTAATGGTCGACAGAGTAGACGATGCCTCGCGAAGTGTATGACAAGTCCGACAGTAGCAGCTATAGCCACTTAGAACAGTATCCACACCAGTCTATTGCATGTGTTTTAAAGAAAGAAGTGATCATCCTTACCTAATGATCGACAGAGTAGACGATGCCTCGCGAAGTGTATGACAAGTCCGACAGTAGCAGCTATAGCCACTTAGAACAGTATCCACACCAGTCTATTGCATGTGTTTTAAAGAAAGAAGTGATCATCCTTACCTAATGATCGACAGAGTAGACGATGCCTCGCGAAGTGTATGACAAGCCCGACAGTAGCAGCTATAGCTACGATTACAGTATCCACACCAGTCTATTGCATGTGTTTCAAAGTAAGAAGTGATCATCCTTACCTAGTGGTCGACAGAGCAGACGATGCCTCGCGAAGTGTATGACAAGCCCGACAGTAGCAGCTATAGCCACTTAGAACAGTATCCACACCAGTCTATTGCATGTGTTTTAAAGAAAGAAGTGATCATCCTTACCTAATGATCGACAGAGTAGACGATGCCTCGCGAAGTGTATGACAAGTCCGACAGTAGCAGCTATAGCCACTTAGAACAGTATCCACCAGTCTATTGCATGTGTTTTAAAGAAAGAAGTGATCATCCTTACCTAATGATCGACAGAGTAGACGATGCCTCGCGAAGTGTATGACAAGTCCGACAGTAGCAGCTATAGCCACTTAGAACAGTATCCACACCAGTCTATTGCATGTGTTTTAAAGAAAGAAGTGATCATCCTTACTAATGATCGACAGAGTAGACGATGCCTCGCGAAGTGTATGACAAGCCCGACAGTAGCAGCTATAGCTACGATTACAGTATCCACACCAGTCTATTGCATGTGTTTCAAAGTAAGAAGTGATCATCCTTACCTAGTGGTCGACAGAGCAGACGATGCCTCGCGAAGTGTATGACAAGCCCGACAGTGGCTGCTATAGCCACATAGAACAGTATCCACACTAATCTGTTAGTTTTGACAGGCGGTACAGTCTCGCTGGCCACACAACCGACTTTGGCGCGGCACAGCATGTGAACCAGTGCCGCCACCATGAATAGTATGAAGATTTTTTCATGGACATCTGGAAAAAGATGGAAACAAATATTTTGAAGTAAGGTAGGAAGACAAGTAAACATAGCTTTTGCCTTAAAAGTACTGATTTTACGTAGGTAATGCTTTTTAAAATAAGTATTCTTGGGACTAATACAAATCGTGACGCTCGATACCGTTTCCATAACAGAAGAGACGCCGTCTACACCGGTGAAACGCGCATCTCATCGCTGACAGTCGACGACTACTTGTCTATCAGTTGTAATCAGGTGCAAGTTCTTGATGTGTGTGTGTTTGTGTTTCATACTATGAAAATGGATTGAAAGTATGAAAAGGAAAGCCGATCAGCAGGTCTGTGATTGATTTACTATGAGAGATTCCAATATTTTTTCATACTTCGACCCATGTTCCATCATCCATGGGGAATGTTGTTCTGTTTCATGCGTACCTTGACCTCATTTTGGCTTGTAATAACCCTTTTGTTACTCCCGGTAGTTGCTATGGCCGCATCGGCCGCAGCCGCCGGCGGTTGTGATCAGCCGCACATGACGAACTGGCACCTTTAGACCACTTTATTAGATGTCAAAGATTTACAGCGTAGGTACTTAATTTGAATCTTCTGCCAAATTGTACCCATGTATGAAAACACAATTACTCCACCCACTTTATTCTTATTAATTAAATACCAGATACTGCAAAAGCCCCAAAAGCTCATTGATTCTCGGCCAACCTAAGAAAAAGAGGCTACAGAATTCGTAGGTGCCTTAGCAACGGCAGTTTCCGCCAATGCTTACGTAAGTCAGTAAGTCTGTCCACAACTCTTCCTGTCTCCAATATTTGATAATTTACGATACGCGAACTGTGCCAAAGAAATGTCTCACAGATGATTTAGTAACAGTTCAAATTGGAAAACTGTTTCAACTAAATCTTCGTGAATTTTAGAAAAGTGAGATAAAATTATGTAATCCAAATTTATCTTTAATATTTTTATTTTATCGTCTTTGAAGAACATGAACATGACATGCGATGCGTGTGTACTATAAAATTGCTGTGAGACTTAAAATATATTCCACGCTGATACATATATATTAGTACAAGAGAGGAAGGTTATATTTCATCTCTCACAATCTTTCTAATCATTATACACAGGTAAGTATCTAATGTAGTTTTTTTTACAAATATATCAAAACTAGGGGCACGTTAGCGGTTTCACACAATGCAACTCGTTTTCCCGCGGAAAAAGGCGTTTTCCCGTAATGGAAATTACACAGTTACGTGGTTTAGGAGGAGTTAGCGAATTCCACGACAAACAGACAGATAAACGAAAAAAGCGACTTTAATGCACTATGTATTGATAATACTCACAATAATTTTCTCTATTGGAGACGTACGTTACTCCGGTGAGTGCGCACAGCTCTATAAGGTTCAGCCAGTAGCACGCCGTTCCCAGTTTTGTAGCTAGCGACCGGGCCTGCAAAGAACCAATGAATGAAGAAATAATGAATGAAACATTTTTCAGGGTGTTAGATAACCTACATATAATAATATCATTGGTGTTAGAATATTTAAGAAAAAACAGCGCCATGGAGAAAACCTGCGGGGGCAATTTGTATTTTTTTTAATTATCCAGGTTTGAAGCACAATATCCACATGCATATGGGCACAGTAGATTCAAACCTGTCTCTCTTTCTTCGTGCAGGACACGTCGTCTAACGACCCTGATGTCAGAGTTTTACAATACAGCCTACTACAAGGAGCAGGCCCCTCACATCGTTTTGTAACGACCGCCGTACAAGTAGTCATTGACAGCAACCGGGACCGGTGGCTTAACGTGCCATCCGACGCACGGAACCATCTTTCTTTCGGAAAATATTGTCGGTTAAAATCTGTGAGATATAGTAATGCGTATA